AAAAAAAAAAATGAGCACACAAGTTGTGGACATTGATGACATGGTTGGTGATTATGACTTCGTAGAAGAGATTGATCCCAAGTCCACGGCACCAAGGTAGCAACACGAAGACTCAATTGAAAAGGCCAAAACGAAAGGGGTTATTCATTGCTATTTTAGGCTCGATGCCAAGTTGTTGTGGAAAGTCGCATGGGCAAGAAAACAAACAAGGATAGACAAGGATGCACCCTATCGACAAGAATTGAATTGAAGAGATAGATCATATAAACAAAATAAAAAATAAAAAATAAAAAAAAATAAAAAAAAAAATAAAATTGCAAGATTTTTATACGACTCCGAAGCCTCTTCCTAGTTTTGAGAACATCGGAAATTATGGTCCCGGTTAGCCACTTCCGACGTATTAAAGTAAGAATGCATGTAGAGAAGATGTTGATGGATCGTGCGCAATCAAGAGCACAAGACGGGTGCACATTGATGTTTGACGGGTGGACCAATCAGTGGAACCAAACTTCGATCAATTTTTCGGACTCTCCTTGCAACACCATGTTTATTGACTCCATTGATGCATCAAGGGACAAGACTCAAGTTATGTAAAGGATGAGGATACAAGATTTGCAGAAACTTAGAAACTCACATCCTGGCGCTTGAAGAAAATAATGGGTTTCAAGAAGTCAACAATCACCGTGGATAACAAGTTATTGGAGGGAGAGAAGTGCTCGCATTTATTTTTGAGTCATTGTGTCGCACATTGTTTCAATTTGATGTCGGACGACATATTTAAGATTCCATGTTTTCAAAAGATTTGGGAGAGGGCTATTTTATGCAAAGATATATCTATAATCGTCCCACTTTGTTGAACATGATACAGGATTTTACACAAAAGAAAGAGTTAGTGAAACCTGCAAAGACTCATTTTGATTTTCTAACATTGCAACTTTTCATCTTCAAAAGACCATTTTGTGTTTGATGAGTGGACCCAAAACAAATGGTCTAAGCGGCTTATCAGGATCATGATGATGCCTTCACTAAGGACTTTGGAACAATGTTTGATTGCTTTGAAATTTACTTCTTCTCCTTGTTTAGATGGTTAGGAAAACCTTGATGGGATTTATTTATGAAGCGGTGGATAGAGTTAAAGAAGCTATAGTGGGAATGAGAGCAAGCACGAAGTGTTTATAAAATCATCAATCGAAGGTGGAATGTTCGGCTGCATCTACCTTTACATGCCACGTTTTTTTCTCCAACCTGGAGTTCGTTTACAAAGATTTGGAGTTTCCAGGAGCTTCTTCATAGATCAATAGAGGGATGCATGATTTTATTCAAAGGTTGGTTCCAAGTGCCGAAAAACAAAATCAAATTTGAAGAAAATTGGAAAGTATCTTAAACGAGGGCGCTTTTGGTTTGTATATGGCGGTTATGCAAAGAGCTTTGTGTGCAGCAGACTGGTGGGTATCATAAGGGTCTAACACACAGGAATTGCAAAAGTGCAACTATTCCGGATGTGAGCGAAACTTGATTGCTTTTGAGAATGCAAGTTTTTATTCTAATACTTCAGTATTTATTTATTTTTATTGTGTAGCTTTTAATGTAGATAATAATTAATAAATTATTATAATTTATACTAATGTGAGAATAATTTTAAAGATGAGAGAGACGAGAAAAAACAAATAGAATTACAAGCGTGGTAAAATTAATCAATTTGCATTAAAAGATATTGATGAGTAATGAGTGGTAGATAAGAACTAGAGAGGAAGAGTTTGTCTTCGGGTTAATGATGTGACAAGGGATGGCGTTGATACAGTTGTGAGGAGCCAAATGATAAAGAATAACACTGAATTGCCACATCTAGGAAGCTTTCTAGTAGTAATATAGTGTCCACATGTACGATTTTGGTCATCCTAAACCTTTTATACCATACAACTTTCAAACCTTATGATATTGATGACTGATGAGTGGTAGATAAGGACTAAAGAGGCAGAGTTTGTCTTCGGGTTAATGATGTGACAAGGGATGGCGTTGATACAGTTGTCGGTGTTGAGGAGCCAAATGATTAAAAATAACATTGAATTGCCACCTCTAGGAAGCTTTCTAGTAGTAATATAGTGTCCACATATACGATTTTGGTCATTCTAAACCTTTTCTATCACCATACAACTTTCAAACCTTATGCTCAACTCATGACTATAAAACTTCATCAGCATCAATAGATACTAAATGAACATTTAATATCATCAAGACAATTAAAGATGAGCAGATTGCATATTATTCAGGAAAGTAATAAACAGGATGAGGTCATAATAACTAGTCAAGTACGAGTAGAAGAAATCCATAACAAAGTAAAATATATACTAACCAGCTCCATAGCCAATTACCAACCAGAAGAATAACAAAGTAAAATATATACTAACCAGCTCCATAGCCAATTACCAACCAGAGGAAGTATCCATTGAATATCTTCTTCTTCTTGGCTTTGTCAAATCTGAAATATAATTAGAAGGGTATAACAGTTAGAAACCAAAGGTATCCAACCACAACTCTAATATTTATCCTTGCTTAGATATGCACTCATCGCTCAGAGATGAAAAAAAAAAAATTGATAAGTTTTGAAAGGATGATAAAACTAAAACAGAGCGATTGCAAATGGTATCAATAGGATCGTACATTTAAGACATTTAACAAAAGTTGTTAGATTGGGGCATGAGTGTTACTCGTATGATATTCTTGCAGTCAGTGGCACGATTGTAATTGTAGAAGTATAGATACCTAAAAGAGAAGGCTACTAGCAAACCGGGGAATAAAATGTCCCCAAAGCCTATCATGTTATAACCATAATAAGGATCTGCAAGTCTAGGTACTCGCAGCAGCATGGGTATTGATTCTCCACCACTTTTATCACCTCGAGCAACCTAAACAAAAAAATAAAAAAAAATATAAGTGTTATGTATAAAAAAAACCTTGGAAATAGAATGTGCAAAATACTAGCAAAAGAATTTGTCTTAAAGTGGAAACATTAATTCTGAAATGATAACATTATATATAGTAATTAAATTGATATGATCCTGAGAATAGTTATTTAATTGGGTTGGTAATTTCACATTGATCATATAATCATACAAATATCTTTCATTGTGTTGGTAACTTCACATATATCACCAATAACCGATTTTATCCTTTACATAGAAACAGAGTATATGCATGTGATAGATTTGATTGCATATAATATCACAAATTATATTAATTATTGATTTTCCAAATATAAATCCCAGAATCACCATATAAAATTGGATCTAGTCAGCAAACAAATCTTGGATTATCAACAAAAACGTGTTGTCAGAACTTTTGTGGTCTGTGAATTTTAGTATGCTTCAGTTTATGGACAATCTGTATATATTGAACTATTTTACACAATATTAATTTAAAATATTATACTTCAACATATAAATTGAACTGAATACTAAATTGTGATATATCATGGAAACAAGGATAAAGAAATGCATAAAACAATGTTCAATGGTATTTTATTCATCTAATTTACTTACATTACATTCCCGTGCAGGAGTATTAGTTATTTTAAAAGAAAACAAAAAAAGTAATATCAACCCAAAGCATTTATTGATAAGATCGTATCAGTAACCACCTCAGAGACTTTATAACAATTTCCCGTCATAGTAAAGGACTAGATGATTATTGTATTCAGACAATTCTGCAGTACTTATGATTCCCATCATTAAGGATGAAAATAAATTCCAGAGTTCGGTATTGCCATTGAGAACAAATCTACCGCAATAAAAAGTATGGATCGATTGTTCTTAGCAAGTGTATAATGAAGAGAAGAATATGAAGCGTAGTAAGTGTATTTCAACTTTTTAAAACAGTTAAGACATGGTTATTGATTAAGCAACTTGCTCATGAATAATTAGTAAACTTGTTATTTGAGCTTGCTGAGAGGAATTTTCACACAAGCAATCAAAAAGAACTCATGTATGGTTAATACAAACAGGACATGATGCATATATTCAGTACACATAATTTTCTAATTTCACCTAAGAGGATATGTCTAGTGCTTCCTTCTTATTTGATACACATTGAGTAGTCTATAAGTTACTCTAGAAACATGGAAGCAAATAGACCATAGGACTAACATATTCCTACTCATGAAATGATCAAAATATAGACAGAAAACAACTAATGATATATATATATATATATATATATATATATA